GCCAAATTAGAACTTTTAATAGCTACCTCCTCCAGTTATATGGGAGTTGCAATTGTCAAAATACGAATCATGTGTACAACAATTGTGTTTGGTGACCCTGAAAAAAAACCACCTTCTTAATTAAATATGTGTGAGAGTCTTAATTGATTATTCTGTCACAAAGACAGTCTTCTTTACAACTTTTAAAAAAGTCATATATGAAAAAAAAGTTGTGTGCACAGTTTCTGACGTTAAAGGTCACTCTTGTTTTTTATAAACTGTGTGGCCGTCCACCTATCATACTGTGGTAGTATTCAGTGTTTTATTACGGCCTTGGCAAGAGATTTCGACCTTCGGACTGTCGTCATATAACCTCTGCTTCATACACAACAAGAAAGCTGTGGTAAAATAAGCCTGAATTGTAGTATTTATTAGTTGCAAATGCACTCATCAGCGTCTCTCCATTTTATTACTGGGAACTATTCAATCAACTTGTAGACTGAGGCAGACGGTCAATGTCCTGTTTTAAAATTAGTATTTTTTTACTCCGGAATGTGCAAATCATATCTTAAGAAATATAGCAACATCGTTGTATTTGGCCATTTTGGAGTGTAATGGTTCCTTCAAAGTTGCATTCGTTAATGAATTCATCTCATACAATGACTTTGTGTTACTCGGGGTACTTTAATTTGTTCTCTCATGAAATGAACTATTCCATTACACAGCTATCACAAGTCTGCCATTCAATAGTATACAACAAGTGAAATTTACACATACAATAAAGCAGTTGAGTGATTTTTTTATTTTGTGAGTTATTGCATCGGGCGTTTTTATGTATTGATTTATTGGCCAATATAACTGTATAAACCAAGATTTGTCAACAGTTGTTTTTCAACATGGCTAACGTTGCAGTCAACAGTCAATCTCCTGGCCTTTCACATAGAAATGTACCAGCTGAAGATCAAAATACCAATGAAATGGAGGAAACTTTTCGTATCAAAAAACGGATAACGTTGGTTGATGGAATTCTTTTAATCACAGGTATGGTTATTGGATCTGGTATTTTCATATCACCGAAGGGCGTTCTATTCAACACTGGCTCAGTGGGGCTTGCTCTGGTGATCTGGGTTGTTTGTGGAATATTTTCTCTCATTGGCGGTCTGTGCTATGCAGAGCTGGGAACAACGTTTCCCAAGTTTGGGGGAATAACCATCTACTTATATGAAGCATTTGGTCCTTTTGTGGCATTCCTGCATCTTTGGATGATCATGGTCATAGAGACACCCACCAGTGTAGCCATTATCATTCTAGTATTCGCCGATTATATCTTATATCCCGTGTTTTATGAGTGTCAATCACAGTTGACAAGACAACTGTTGGCTGTGGCTGGTGTCCGTAAGTACAGTTTTAATTATCTCAACCTACGGTTATACTTTACATTTACGGAGCTGGGAACAACGTTTCCCAAGTTTTGGGGAATAACCATCTACTTATATGAAGCGTTTGGGCCTTTTGTGGCATTCCTTTGGATGATCATGGTCATAGAGACACCCACCAGTGTAGCCATTATCATTCTAGTATTCGCCGATTATATTTTATATCCCGTGAAAAAATGTCTGTACTTGCTATACAGGTCATTCACAGCCACATACTGTAATACTTAGTGTCTGTTGACGTATTGTGTTGTGTTGTGTTGACATAACCACGCACATTTTGTTTACCATATTCATAAATCCTGATATCATCATGCTGAATTATATTGAATATTGAAATCTAGTATTTCATTTTACTCAAATATTACTGCATGAATTATTCGTATCATTCTATAGGATGAATTGAAATTAATACATCACATGTAGTATTGATTGAGGAATACACTGACTAGTATTTGTTCTTGCCAAATTTTGCTTGGATATGTTGCTGTACTATTATGTTTTAGGAACTTCCTGCTATATTATTCGAACACTAGGAACATTGGGATTAATAAAGTACATGCAGTATTAATCGATGAGCATGAATATTAATTATTGTGTATGTAATTTGTTAGTCACACCTTAATATTTTTTGCACAACAAAACTTTATTACTAAATTTCACCTACAAAGAAAAGATCGTCTATTTTTGTTTGTATCCACCCATTCATCATTTGTTATGTATTCTAGATTCCCAGCAAACAAGCTTGTAATAGTATGTTTTATTTGTTATTGCTAGACATGTAAAACCATTGCACCTGTTTCAAAAACATAATCCATCACAATTTTGTTTACCGTATTGGTTTGTAATTTCAGTTTTCCTGTCATTCGTGAATGTTTGTAGTGCACGATGGAGTGTTCGATTGAATAACTTCTTGTCATATTCTAAAATACTGGCCACCACGATTATTATTGTTACAGGATTAGTGTACCTAGCACAAGGTATGTATTTAATGTTACCATTTTTAGACATAATTG